ACTTAAAACTTTWCCTAGCACAGTTGCGTAAATTGGTGAAGATTAGGGAATTACATTCCAAATAAGCTTGGCAATGCCATAGAAAGCCCTGCTCTTACTATAATCCATTGTGTTTGAACAACTAGTATAAACATCTTTAAAACAACTCTTCTAGATACAAACTTTATATCTATCTGGAATATAGCTTTCTTAGTGTAGCTTTTTCTCATTTGCAGATAAAGTTTGTTCTGTGACGTCAGAAGCTTATATCCAATTTCTCAGATCACAATGGTTGAGGTTGGAAGGGACATCTAGAGATAATGTAGTCCAACACCCTGCTCAAGCACGGACACCTAGAGCATGCAGCACAGGGTCGCATCAAGATGAGTTTTAAAGATCTCCAGATCACTCTTTACCTTCACCCTACTCCTGCTTAGTAGATATTCAGGGAAATACATGACAAGATCACTTACAGTTTGACTTTCTATTCCTATATATCTCAAAATACTGCTTAAAATAAATGTAACAAGTACTTAAAACAATTCAAACATAATTAAAACTAGAAAAATCAGTACTTAGGAGTGGGCCTACATGCTTTGTTTCTTTTCAAAGRTAAACCAATGGCATTCCATAAACTGATAGAATGAGAGAGCTGAAAGAAAAATAAACTGAAGAGCAGTGGGAGGAAAACAAGAGGGAATAAAGAGGGAGGTGAAGGCACCAGGGTGGGGCCCAGTTGTCAGGGAAATATTATTTAGACAGATCCTGAGGACAGACATCTGGATGGCAGTGACAGAAATAGCCTTGCTATGAAGTAAGGACAGTAACAGCTCTCAAACACTGCAGAAGATGTCCTAAACAAGGACCTTGTTTTGCTTCTGATTTCATTAATCACAATAATTCTACATCCTTTTAATAATATTTCACAAAAATATTGAAAAATCTTTGTGCAAATGTAAAGCAAATGAAGGGCTTTCTCTGAAACTTCTAAAGACTTTCAATAATCTATGWGATTCTGATAATTTTATCATTCCTAACGTGTCTTTTAAATCTCTGTTTACCCTCAGGCCTACTTGCCATGTTCACCCTCAGTGCTACTGTTGCTATTTACCCTCAGTTGTAGTCCCTCAGTATACTCTCAGGCCTGCTCCCAGTCTTTACCCTCAGTGGTACTCGCCCTGCTTACCCTCAGTCCTACTCCACCTGTCTACTCTCAGTGGTATTCCCCCTGTATACCCTCAGCCCTACTCCTGCTGTATACCCTCAGGAGTACTCCCCCTGTTTACCCTCAGTAGCACTCYCTCTGTTAACYCTCAGGCCTACTCCTGCTGTTTACCCTTGGTCCTACTGCCCCTGTTTACCCTCAGTCGTACTCTCATGTATATCCTTGAGTATATTCTCACTTATTACCCTCAGTGATACCTCCATTTTTACACTCAGTCCTTCTCACCCTCTTCACCCRCAGTGTTACTTCTGTGTTTAACCTCAGTCATACTCCCTCTGTTTACCCTCAGTGACACTGCCGTGTTAATCCTCAATCCCACTCCAGCTGTTTACTCTCAGGCCTACTCCAGATATTTACCCTCAGTGGTACTTCCGTTTTTACCCTCAGTCCTACTTTCCCTTTTTACCCTCAGTGGTACTTCCATATTTATCCTCAGTGCTACTCCCCCAGTTTATCCTCAGTGGTACTTTCCTGTTTATCCTCAGTCCTGCTCTCGATGTTTAACCTCAGTGGTACTTCTGTGTTTTCCCTTGCTCCCACTACCCCTGTTTACCCTCGGTCCTGCTTCCCCTGTTTGCCCTCAGTGGTACTTCAGTGTTTACCCGCAGTCTTACTCACAATGTTTGCCCTCAGTGGTATTCCCAAAGTTTACTCTCAGACCTACTCCCGATGTTTACCCTCACTGGTACCTTCGGGTTTACCTTCAGTCCTATTCCCAATGCTTAACYGCAGTGGTACTTCCATGTTTACCCTTGGTCCTACTCCTGCTGTTTRACTGCATTGGTACTTCCATGTTTACTTAAAAACATGGACTTTTTCAGAAGAAATGCCAAAAGTGATGCCAAAAGCATCACATAGTAGGCCAAGTGTTAATAACAGTGCTAAATGTGAGATAATGCCTCTTACATAAATAAATCTCTTCAAAAGTTTGTTCACTGAAGAAAATGAATTCCAAAGAAATAATGTTGTTTTCTCCTTGTTGATTTCTTTTTTTTTTCATTCTCATTTTTATCTGTATATTTCCATCTTTTTTTAATATGGAAGCTGATCAAGAAATAGGGTTTCTTTTAATGTGGATAATGAATTTCTCTCTGTCTGTTTGTTCTGTGAAGAAGCTTTCCTGATTTATTTCAGTTGTCATTTTTTCTTTAGAGTTCCCTAGAGTGACTGCAGTTCCTAATGAGCTAAATTCTCTCTCAGTATCCTTAACATATTATTGTTTTTAGACCTTCCATTTTGCAGATGAAATCTAGGTTGTTCAGCTTTTTAAGTATCTGTTATCTTCCCAGATTAGATTCTTGAAACGTCTAGGTGCAGTGTCAGAAATAGTAATGAGCATTTAAAATGCTGCTCCATGAAACTTTACTCCTTCAATTCATTTGATAGTATTATGCAAAGAAGTCAAGATGTAAGTCTAAGGAATATCTTTGGTTTATTGGAATATCATTTATCCTGATACATAGATGTCCACATGCAGCCTGCCCATCTGCCAAGTTTTATATTTGCATGGTCATAGAAATTTTAATGTAGATTCCTTTCTCACTCCCAGACTGATTCTGTTACTTACTGTTTTTTATTATTTCATTTATCATCAGAAAAAAATAGAAACAAAAAAACTAATAATCTGAATCAGTTCTGCAAAGGAGTTTCAACCTTCATTTTCTTCTTGAAAATTTCTTTAATCACTCTCTTGCTGTCGGAAATCACCTCTTTTTCAGCTCTTTAGATATYAGCACATACTGCACAAGATGACAATCTAGTTATTTCTGAAAGAGAAATAGTTACTGTTTCAGTCTGCTGTTTTGCTTTAGCTTTCATTCAATTGGAAGCATCTGTGTGATCTCAYTTGGATTCCATAATATCTTTTTATTAGATTTGTCATTCTGTGTGCTTTCTTTTATTAACTTAAAAGAAATTTTAAACAGAAATTTTCCAGAGGCTTCATTCACGAGACAAATTTTTCAAGTTCCCTTTATGACAGRACCTAGATAGCTGCTCTTTGTGTTGTTAGTTCCTACATGTTGGAATCTGTAACAAAGGAGCTGGTTTGGCTAAAGGTTTTTGATGTTACAAAATTAATTTAATGTTTCACTCTGATGACAAATGGTTGGAGCTCTGTTGAAGTCATCCTTCAACAAGGCTTAAATAAGACAGCCTCCTTCAGGACTCAGGACACCAATACACGTTTATACAGTCATATGACAGCTGACTGTGGGACCAGGCTGAGGCCAGGCCAGGCGGCACCTGTAGGTCAGGGTGCAGTTTGGGGGACTGATGGTCAGGCAGGAGCAGGTCCATGGTGGGGCTTGAGCCAGCACTGCTGTGGCATCATGGGGCAGGGACTGATAGCCCCAGGGCTGGGGCTATCAATATATTTCAAATATATTTCCTTATTATATAAGGATATATAAATAACCTTATTTAATGTATTCTTATAAAAGGAAGGATCCATCTAGGTCTTAGAATATTACTCATTTAACGATGCATTCCGTAGTTTATTGAGCCAACCAGGCTGCCTGAGTGGCCAAGTGACAGGAAGGAACTAGTGGGAAGATGAGACATTCCAAGATCCAGCTTAAGTGATAAGAGATAAACTCCCGCTTTGATAATGTCAGGTTTATGTTGTTTCATGCGTTTTCTTCCAAACATGGGTTTCTCAGAGTAAACATAGGAACAGCTTTGTTTTAGAAATCATTATTTAGCATTCCAGCCATGTAATATTTTTCTGTCAGATACTAGCTATAATTAAGTTCTCAGGCTTACATGAAAATAGTCATGGGAATCAAAATATTTTCAATTTATATTCCTGTGCTGCTTTTCATTTGAGGATCATGCAGTGTTAAATCAGCATTAATTAATTTTCTTGGAGCTTTTTTTGACACAGACAAGAGCTATTGTTTGAGAATAATAATTTATGTTGAGTATCATATTAAGATTGACAGTGTCTGTAAAGAAGAGTACCAAACTGAGATTCACAACACCTGGTGCCTTCATATTGGAGGCTCTTTGATAGCCTTTTTTGGTTCCTCACTTTACTCATTTGTACAAAGTCATTTTTCTTGCTGTGTAATGTTGAAGACTTACTAAGAAAAACACTTTATCAGAGTGATGTTAAGATGCGAAAGCTATTAAAGATATTAAAAGCTCTCACCTAATGATTCTAGTTTGAAAGTATGAATGCTGATTTCAGGATCTTCTCATTCTTGTGCTCTCTAACAGATAACACATGTTCTTTAAAGGCATCTTTACACAGTGGTGCACTACACAGTGAATCCAGGTGTCATTAGAGAACAGATTCTCTTTSTGTTTTTTGAACAAATTCCCTTATTGAATTGAATGAGCCTCATCTTGTATGCTCATTTAGGGCTGTGTGGAGCAGGGATAGCAGCTGACAACATGCTCCTGGCATCCTTCTGTTTGGTTGCATTTTATTTTGCCTGTACCAGATTTATGGCTTTGTCAGGAGCTCTCACACCTGGAGGTAATGGAAACTTGGACACTGACATTTTCTGTTTCCTTTTGCTAGGTCAGCGTGATTTTGATTTAGCTGATGCTCTTGATCATCCAGGTAGGYAAATCTGTTATCTTTATTTTGTTATAGCATTTATCCCTAATAATAAATTTAAAGCCCTTTATCTTTTTCTTTAGAACTGAAATATGAAGAGACTAGTACCTCARTAAATGTATACAGGATGAGGAAATGCTATGTTTTTCCTTTAGAAAAGATTGAAAAATGCTGTTCGCTTTTGGTTTGTTTATTTTTTTTTCATTTTTACATGAGTGTTTCTGGCATAAACACAAGTTAAAATACCAAAAAAATCACAGTTATGAAAATTTACCACTTCACTTGTAGTTTCTGACACAGTACCTGAAGATCTATTTGCAGATTGAATGCCGCTCCCCAGATTTATAGATACCTTCATTTCATAAGTTAATTTCTTTTTAAGCTTTTATTGGTTTTTAGTATGTCATTGTGTCTCCCAGAGGACATAATTACCAGGAAACCTACAGTGATCAGAAGACCAACAAGAAGGCCGGTGCTGAGTAAGTARTAAAGACAGTGGGTCATAGCTAATTTCAGATATGTAGAAACTGTCTCCCATGAGATTTTTGATCATATTTGGTAGGTACGGTAGCTGACATCATTTGTGCGAATRCCAGCTTGTCTTGTAAAGTAAGTAATTTTTTAACAATTACCAGTTACCTATCTTCACTGCTTCCTATTAAGCTTTAGAGAGTGACTTACCACAGAAAGCATTTTACTCCTAAAAATTCTCATAATACTATTCCAGCCTGCATTAAAATCTCTGGAAAGTACAAAAATGTTTAACTGTCGCTTCTGCTTTTTCCCAATTATTTCTTTTTTTCTCTTAGTACGGAAACAGATAGTTCTTGATAACAGATTCTGTGTCTCACTCTGAACAAACAGGATATTGTCTTGTGAGTGTGGGAGCTACTTAATCTTCTAATGGTTACATTCTTCTTTCCCAGTTGATTTGGCAAACAGAGTCTGTTTGGTCTGGATTAAAAACATCCAGGCCATGATGGAGAGATATGGCATCAGATGAYGATTATACAGCCATCCTGAATGACCTTTGCCAGTTCTTGGAAATGAAGCATTCCATGTATTTCAGAGCATTTTGGAATCCCTTTCAGCACTAAACAGGATTGAAGGGAGTTGAAATTTAAGTGAAACAAACAAACAAAAAGTATAACAAAATTAATGACTGAATTTGAAACCGTATGCAAAGAGATGATATAAAAGTGTGTCTAAACATCGACCTGATGCTTCAGGGTTTCTTTTATATCCCATTCATGCCATGTAATTGAGAAATGAGGCTAGCTGATATGATTTTGGTAGAGTTGGAGCTAAATTTTTGTACAGGCYATGTCCTCTGAATATTATTTCCTCTGTCTGTGCTGAAGCTTTCCTAGAGATATCTCCAAAATAGTGTAATTGGAAATTCAATTGAAAATTTAATGGAAGTGGAAGGAGATGTTTATTTACAAAATCTCTCATAGATTTCATTCACTCATATACTCAAGTCTACATACACATGATCACCAAGGCATGTGCTCAAGAATTTGGGTCAGCATTACTTGTGTGCGACATGAGACAAAATATACCAGCTATCGAATCTTTATGCCTCTGTGATTCTACTTGCTTGGAAATGACTAGCTAGTCCATGGACAGATATTTTATATTCTTTAGGAATCGTCTGTTATTATGGAGTGGTCRTTTACCTCTGAATCTTGCTTATTTTAGCCTCTGTGGACCCTAAGYGAGGTTGTTGCTTGTTCTTGCTTGTTTGGAGGATGCAGACTATCTCTATAGTCTGTTTTCTGGGTGGACTAACAGGAAAAGAAGTGTYGTAGCCAATATGCTGCAACCTCTGGCCTTGGAGAATCTTCTGCTTCTCCGCTCCTGACACCCCATCTGTGCTAAGGCTGTCTTGGAACACAGATCTTTTGGTTTCCACACAAACAGCATATTCCTCAGTTATACTGTGGAGAATAGTTTTCTAGGAATAGTATCCTTCTGTATCCATTCTCTTAGGCCTTTGCCATGCTGTTTTCTTCTGGTGTTCTTCTGGTTACAAACACATGTTTCCCTTTATGCTTCATCCATACCAACCTTGACATTTTTTGTAACAAAACTCTATGCCAATCCTCCAGAGTGGAACCTGTATCTTACCTGAATTCTTAATCTTGAGAATAAATTCAATCTAATTAGCAACTTGCAGCTTTTTACAGTTTTAGCCTTTGACAAATAAAGGCATTTTTGAAGTGTAACTCTCTGTTGGTTGTACGCAAACAAGATTAACAGCTAGCTTGACAGGAACAAACTGACTCAGGTAATATGAATTTGATTATTTTCCTGCCAGCTTGCTGATGGCATMAAAGTATTTTTGGCTGGTTACACAAATGTCAAATATATAATGAGACTAGATGCTGTGCAAAACCATCTTCCTGCTTCCTCTGGATAGAAAGGACACATGAAGGCAAACTTGTACATGGTTGTGTATTTGGATGGATTAGCACTGCAGTCATATTTTGCTGACTTTTGGAATTCTGACAATGTTATACTAAAAACATATTTTGAATGAAGTATCTCATTTTCTGCAGCATAATCAYCTTTTCAAAGTCTGTGTGGATTTTGCTCTCTCTTTGATTCACTGTACTTCTCTGCATTTATAATGGCGAGGAAAGTGATATGTGTGAATAACACATCCATGTTATTCACGTGGTTACACATCCACATATTATCCTATAACCTTTCAGAGTTCATCCTCATTCCACACACATGCTAAAATATCACCCACATATTCGTGTTCACACCTGCACGCTGGAGAAGGAGGTCCTCCTGTTTATACATTTGTAGCTCATTGGCAAATGATTTGTTGAAGGGAAAATTCCATTCCAGGTACAGGGAGGCACATGCTGAGTGCCAGGGGAATGGCAGTAGCTGGTTGATTCATTGCGTAACGTGCACATGCAGACTTTTAGAAGTAGCTCAGCCAAATTAAAACTGCTTATTCAGTACAAGAGGGACATGATTCTGTGATTATCAACCAACCCCAGATACGCACATATGGTGTCCAGGAAAACTGGACTTTTTCTGTCTGYATGATCTTTATATAGATAAATTAATGTAATTGTCTTGCTAATTAGGTTCACAGTATGTCACTTGCTTTTGAAATGGGTATTCAGTTTTTTCAGTTCAGCAAGTTTCACCTGATCCAAGTATGCATGCACTAGTTTTACAGAAAATAAGTATTAGTAAATATATTTTTAAAACAGATAGTCACATTTTCATATTTTAACATAGCTGAAGTATGTTTTTTACRTATATTAAGGAAGTATTCATCTTGACAGCACTATTAGATTTATACTGACTCYGTTTACTTAAAGCAGGAATGCATCCCTTGTATTTTGTGTAGAAAATATGATACAATTTATCAATTGTTTGTGGATAAATGTTAAATACTATTACAGTTTTCAAGAAAAGTATGATACTTCATTTGAATTTGCAGGCCTGATATGAAAAATAGTTGTTTGTCAAACTTTTTCGAAATGCTTTCTATTAAAAATGAGCATTTCGCTTCCCTCCACAATTGTCCGTTACTTACTTCTTTGCATGTTCTTCTTATTCATTTTTAGATAATGATCTGCATTTAGGAGATGCTTTTGGTGGTGGTGAGTACTTTTTTTTTCTTTTCTCAGATATAATCTGTTTTTTTTTTTTTTTTTYTGGTAAGGAGTTTTTCCAGTGTAGCCTTTTTCTGAAGCCTGCCTAACTTGCACAAAGACCTTTTAGGCCTGCAGGAGGATTTAGGTGTAGCAGTGTGAGGTGTTAGTGCTCGTACCCACGCGGTCCCCCTGCCAGGGGGTATCCCGCAGAGCAGGGAGAGGGGTCCGGCCTGTGCCTGTTTGGTGGCCGCAGGAGGCCTGGTGCAGGCCGGGGAGGTTGGCGGTGGTTCCCGTGCCTGCGGCAGGCCTCGCGTGGCCGTGCCGGGGGGGAAGATRGTACTGCCTGTTCGCACCTGCTGGCTCAGGGGTGGTAGGTGCCGGCAGGGGGATGGAGAGAACTTGTTAGGGCAGAAGTTTCTTCAGCTGCCAAAGATGATTCTGACTAAGATTAGGAACCAGCGGTAACAGYGGGGATAGAGGCAGGTGTGAGCTTGTTACTCACTCGTTACTGCTCATATTAATTGTTCCACTCCTGAACATTTTTACTGTATACTTTTTATCAGAGTACATTAGGTTCCATTTCTTCAGCCTATTTTCAGTTCATGCTTTTAATTGGCATTCATACATGGTATAATGGGATTATTATTAGAACAGTGAAATGTTCTTAAGATGTTATTTTTTACTAGTAGTGACATAGAATATATCCTATTCACTTTAGAAGGGATTTAATAACTGCATCATCATAATAGAATTGAGTAATGGCACTTGTAGTTTTCTGCTTTTGTGTCATGATGGGTCTTAGAAAATTATGTAGGGTTCTGTGATAGAACAAATCTTTTCTTCTGTTAGATAGCAGTAATTGGGAAAAGAATGATTCAGCAAAGCTTTCAAGGGTGTGCCTAAAATCCACTGACTGCAGGAGGCTCAAATTTAAGAATATATTTAAATATTTTGCTGAAACAGAACCTGAAAGTTAGTCACAAACAGAAGCATTATATTTGGCATTTAGAAAAGAGGAAAACATCATACAAATTTATCTGTCATGTATGGTAGGCAAAAGAAATACTTAAGGAGAGTGAAGGAAAGTGATAATGTTTTTCTGTGACCTAACTCTGTGTTAGCTTGAAATAAAGCCAAATTCACTGCTTGGTTATTTGATCAATTAAATGCGCTAGTGGCCTCATTGGAGAGAAGATGGCTATTTATATATGCAGAACAATGGTCCCAGGCATTAACTTTGGCAGTATTTGACCTGAACCTACTTGCAAATCCAGCACTGTGTGTGTAGTTTGAAAACTATGAGTGTTCTTGATCTCCGTCTCTATCCAGTGCATCTTTTCCTAACACTATGTCAGGAGTAAAGACTGAATACTTGCACAAAATCTAAGGAACAAAGCTGACGTCTAAGCTCATTTTGCACTGTCCAAGGGTAGAAAACTCATCGTATGTTGAATGAATTCATTGTTAGATGAAACTAGTCTCCAGTTCTCAGCAAAGCTTGTTGGTGGCAGAGTTATCTCCTCGCCTCCTGCCCAGCCTAGGACACAAACTGGCTCTGCTGGCTCTGCATGACTGTCCCACTGCCACCTGCAGTATCACACTGCTCTTCCCAGACATCAGCATTAATTAATATTAGCACGCGCCAGAAATACATGAAATATTCTTCATGGACAGTCTTGTAGATTTGTTTCTCATTTTCATTTTGAAAATGCTCCCTTCCCCTTTTCTAACTGGTTTTAGTATCTAATTGCTCCTAGCAGGCTGGAGACTTTTCAAATAGTGGCAAGGTCCTTTTCTTAGTTTAATAGGGGAAAAATAGCAGTAAGTGTCTCAGGTTATTGTACTCTTTATTTAAGTTCTAAGTTTTCTCCCTTTCACCATCTAACGATATTTATTATTCATAGGTGACATCTCAAGAAAACCTTTATATCCACCCCTTCCACCACGACCAGGAAGCCACAGTGATTCTGGTAAGACCATTTTCTTTACAGAAAATCTTAACATGATGAGCTGTTCAGATCAGCAACTTTGAACAGCTTCTTTTATTATTTCATTATTAATCATTTTAATCATCCCTTTCCCTTCCCCYTTTTGTAATCACTGTTTCTGACCAACTATTTGGAAAGGTTTTCTGAGCTTTAGTATTGGTAACAAGCTTTTTTTCTTTTTTTTTTTAATTCTGCTCAACATGTAGGATATTGAATCCTATGCAGCAGTAGATTAATCCTCCTCTTGTTTGCCCTTTCATTTTGGGTATGAACCAAGGATTTGCCAAATGTTTTCCTATCACTGAACTGTGATAGGTTCACTAAGGTGAACATTTGATGKCTAGGCCTACTGTGTGGATGAGCCTAGGTGCAAGTCCATACTAAGACATGAATCTGGGATGGCTCTCGGGCATAAACCAGAGGGGACTGAGGAGGTGGAGAGTTGAGGCCTGTGTTGCTCCTGAGTGGTATCAGACACACACCTGCATTCAGTGGAAGTAGCACATCTACCCTACCTGCCACATGGATCCCATCTTCTGCTGTGATTGTAGGGTCCAGCTGTGCATAAACAGGTCCATGGATGGACAGGATGGACAGGTCCATCTGGATCTAGACCACAAGCTGAGTTCCTTCTGTGGGAGCAGGTGGGATTTGAGATATCCATATTATACATGGATTTGTGTTTCTAAGAGCTTGAACAACATATCCCACAGGTGGCTGTATGGATGCTCACGGCTGGGCCATTTAACAAGGGTTTTTGCACATATGCCCCTTTTKGGGCTCAGATTTAATTTATTGCCAGAATTATGTGTCTTCATAGGCCCAGAATGCACTTGTGGCTTCACRAAGCATCAGTTTTAGTTCTCCAGCTTCCAGGTGCATTTAAACGGACCCCCCCCATCCCATCCACCAGGTGCATTTTCAAAGGTCCCTCACCTCTCCCAAGAACRTTACAAAGAGATTGGACAAGGTAGCTGGAAGGATGCCACTGTCCAAATAATTTTGCAAGAGAAATCCTGATCTTTATCTTGCAGGAGGCTTTAGTGACCTAGATCTCCTCGATGGGAAGCCATTACCACCACAGCTATCAGGTAGTATTTGCCAATTCTCCTTGCAGCTTCTCTTTGATTATTGTCATTCATAGCTATCTGGTTTTGCTATAGCAGAAATCTGTTTGACAGTGAAGGTAAAGTACAAGACTGATATTTTTATTTAAAAGCATTGTATTTCTCCAAATCATAGCTTTGAGCCTGAAACTCTAAGTCACTTGAAACCTATCCCTAAGCACTTTGCAGGATTAAGCCAGAATCTTGCAGGATTAATCCTTCTAAATTCAACTAGGATAGTCCCAAGGCAAGAGGCTCTCACTCATAACTGAAAATAGATGCACTGGACTTATGACATTGACTTAAATTAATGATAAGTCATATGCTTCTCTGGTAGTAGGCAATAACAAGAATGCAGTATTGGCCTCCCACCTCCTTTGAAACGAGCTTGATGGAGACAGCTGAGTACTACCCTTCTCTTAGAAGACAGTATTATTATACTTAAAGAATGAAGTTGCAGACAGATGGAAGGTTATCCCTCCTACCAAAGCAACTGTCAGTCAGAATTAGAATGACAGCTCCTTTCTCATATAGCCTAGTTTGGCTTTTTGCATGAAATCGTTTTGCTGAGTAAAGACTTCATTCTCCAAACATGACAAAAACATTTCTTGATGAAACTCTACATTCTATTCCAGGTGAAGATGAGCAGCATTTCAATCATGGAGGAAATACTGGTGAATAGTTTATTCTGTACCTTGTTTCAGACTGTCTTTAAATAGTAAGAAGATTTTAGCAATGTAATAGTAGTATGTATGCTAAATGATGCTGTAAGACATTTTTCACATAAGATAGAATATAACATAATCTGTGGTCTTCTGTTGAATTCCGTATTTGAAATTCCAATGTTAACACCAAACAATTCTCAAAGTTCTGCAAAAATACACTTTATTTATTATTTCTGTGCCTCCGGTAAAAGCTTTTTTTCTTTTTTCTTTTTTTTTTCAGATTCAGGATTAATAGCTGGAGTTACATCACCTATAATTTCTGCTTTTGTAATATTAGTTGTTGGATCGATAGCAGCCTACTCAGCTTATAAGAACAAGAAGCTTTGTTTTAAGCCACAACGTAAGAACAAATTAGCTTCCCCATTTTTGAGCCGATTTGCTTCTGAAGCAAAGGGGGATTTTACAAAAACAACTAAAACAAAAAAAAAAAAACCAAAACAAAACAAACAAACAACAACAACAACAACAAAAAAAACCAGTGAGAACAGAGAGAACAGAAATAGGTCGGCAACAAGGGTTTTGAAAATCTTATTTCCAGCAATCTCACTGGTCTGTGAGAGATATTGGTAACTAATGTTCTCTATCTTCATCTAGGACAACCATAGGAAGCTCTAAAAGGCCCAGAAGAAAAGTGTAAAGGATGAATAGTTCATGAAAGTTTTAGGGAAGGAAGATAATGTGAGGGCCATGCAGATGTGCAGAGCAGGGTTACTGGCAGCAGGTCCTAAGAAAGCCAGGTGATCCCGAAACAAAAGCTAAGCATCAATGGGGGAGCCAGGAAAGCCAAACATCAGTTCACGACAGGGCTGGGGGCAGGTTTCCAGCTCTGGCAGGGACCGATGGCCCAGATGGGGGCTGAAGTAAAGCCCCTAGGCAGAGAGCAGAGGGCCCAGGTGAGGCCTCTCACTACAGAGAAGGGCCATTTTGCACACAGGAAGGGTCACCTCTTTCCTGTGTTTCTGCAAGAGAAGCATCGTGCCAAAGTCTGCTGCAGGGCTGCAGTCAGTGATGCCGTAGCTCTCTGGACTACAGCAGGGGGAGTGGGATAAAGAAAATGGGAGATGTTGTCTATTCATCCCTGGAGACACAAGAGATGGTCCTGCTTGATGCTTGAGAGGACTAGAGTTAAAAAAAAAACAAAACAACAACAACAACAAAAAACAGTTTATATGTTGAAGAACTGGTGAAGAATATCTGTAGCAGAAATGCTGAATTTTCAACTTTCTTTTTTTTAGGTGGGGCTACAGTGTAATGTGCTGAAAGTTACCCAAAGATGACGGGCTTCTCTGGTTGGCGACATTATCTTAACAGATTGCTCTTCTAAACTGATGGTTTCCTTGGTCCAGAAAAGGAGCATTCAGCCACAGACCTGACAAACTTGTATTCTTTTTTTTTTTTTTTTTTGTCATCCTGATAAGGAAAAGTTTACCCATCTTCTTCTGAACATTTTGTTGAGACCTTGCAATTCTCTTTAACCTGATGTTACTCTTCCTTGAAGTACCTTGACGTATATGTCATTAAAGATATGCTTAAAGGTGTGTGGATAGTATTGCACTGATATCTGATGTCTATTAATAAAGGTGAAATAGGTATTTTGATTTAGAAGTTATTTTAGATAATAAAGCCCCAAGAAACCAAGTATAATAGGTACTTGAAATTTAATGATTTTGGTTTCTGAGCGTTAAGAGTCATGAGAGCTTTTTGTCTGTTTGTTTTCATAATTAGCCAAAATAGATGATCCTTCTGATAGAAAAAGGCAATTGTCATTTCTAGTCATACATTTGGGGGTTCTTTAGTATATATCTGTATCTGTATTTTCTATAATGTTTATGGAAAAGTTGAAGTTACATAAATTAAAAATTATAATGCTTTTATTTTGTATATAATGCATGAATTCTTGCAAACTAGAGCTATAGATGAAAATGTATAAATTCTTAATTTCAAATACAGCATGAGAAGTTTATGTATATTGATGAACCTGTTAAAAAATCCCAAAACATGAGGGGTAGTCATGTATTATTATTATTATTATTATTATTATTATTATTATTATTATTATTATTTTAGATAGCACTTATGTCTTCTCAAGAACTAGAAACTGAAGTAAATTTTGTTTCTCTTTTCAAAAAATTAGATCCTCTTCTAGAAGTCTTCATAGTTATTATAATATGGCAGTCCTTTTTTAATAATGGATTACATTATTGATAATTTCTGTAAAGGAAAAAATAGGAACAGAGTTTTTGGAATAATTTAGAGCTACTCTTTGACATTTTGTTCTGTAAATTTATATCACACTAACTTTTGAATTTAAAAAAACATCTTTTAGCAGAGGAAGGTTGATACTGAAAGTTTTTCTAGGAAGGCTGTTTCATCTTTTCCCCTGGTTCCTGACCAGTCAAACTGTGCTAATAAATGTTCCGATGTAGGCATCCTTTTATCAATAAAAACTAACATTTCCCCAGTTTCCTGGCTACTAGGAAAAGAATTGAACGCTGCTGAAAGTTAGCAAAACTAGTAGAGTTTACTGGCATTATTCTGCGATACAACTATTTTGGCTTATCCTTCTAAGCATAAACAAAATCTCTGCATTTTGATCTTCATCTTACAAGCAAAACACATTTTGTCTTACTCATGAAGTTGGCTGTAGATAAACATGATTTGTGTTTATGAAATTGTTAAGAGAAARATGTCATCTGGGAAAGTGCTCTTTTTTATAAAATAATAGTCTAGTAATGTTTGAAACAGTTGCTGAGGAGAGAAATTATCATAATATTTATTTTTATCCTAAAACTAAGAAAATATGTTTTAGATAAAATACAGAACCATCCTGACAACACAGAAAGGAAGAAGCATGTTGTGGCTATCACTTTCAACTTCTGAACGATAATACATGTTTTAATTTGTCTTTCAAAGATACAAAATATTTCTTAAAGAATATCACTCTTCTGTGTTAATAGTTCTAACAAATTGATACATGTTTTGCCAAGTAGATGTGTAGTTTGGTTGCTAAATTATTCTACTGTACAGTGAAGTGACCATCTGAAGAGCTGATAATCCTACTTTGGAAAAAAAAMCAAGTCTTGTAGCTGTCGGTTCAGTTTTATCAACAGTAAAAAAATAAACTAAATTTGCTTCTTTCTCTTGAAAATTTTCAATAAACACTTACTGTGTTTTATCTAAGTTAAGCTGAGTTTTGTTTGGTGCTTTCTAGGAAATATGTTGGCTGGTGCCCTTTATGCAAATTTACCTATATCCCACTAGAGAAAAGAAAAAAAAATGCTTCAAAGAGAAGAGTTTAGAGAGAAAAAGAAAACAGCTTAAGAATCTGACTTTAATGTGTTCACAGCATGTTTAAAACAATGTCTTATTTGGTTTAAAATGCCTGTGCTAATAGCATTAACAAAAAAACAGATTTTGTAGAGGAAAAAAAGCTTGCGAGAGTTGGTCAAACATCTCCTCCCTCTAGACTTCTAATCTTCTGAAGGCCTTTGGTCTAAGACATCAACACAGCAATCCCAATGTACCTGGGTGCAGGTRTACTTTTCAGTGTTTACTTTTCAGCAATTGTTTAACTAACTGAGTGTTTATTTAGRGAAGCTCTCAGTATTTAAATGGGAGGGGAGAGGAAAGGGATGTAAACCAGTTGTTAGACCAGGGTAACCCTAGCTTGTATTACTGTCTTTGCCATTTAAGGTCTAGTCTATACTGTTTAAAAAATTGTGGCACAAAAGTATAATAAAAATCCATCCAAATGTAGACATAGGTTTTGTTACCAGAAAAATGCTTTTGTAAAAGCAACTACAATCTCAATATTTCTGTTTGTTAGAACAGAATATTGCTTAGTTGACTTGTCTGTCTGAGATGCTGAAGGCATTTCCTGAGAGGTTTTTTTTTTTTTTTTTTTTTTTTTGGTGTGGAATGAATGAATTTTTATTTCCAGTTTTTTTGCCCCTTCTTCCTTCAACTCCACTGTCACTGGAGTTGCCACTGCAGCAATGATATCCTCTTCTCCGATGGACTGTTAGCATATTCTCAGGATGTCACTTGCAGATTGTGGAAAAATCAACATCTACTGGTTACGTGGTGCACACATTTCCCTCACAGGCATTCCATGTAAAGTTACTTTCCCAGGAATTCTATGTAAAGTTACTTTCCTCTGCTAAGTAGCGGGTGGCTTTCACAGAATACAGTGACTTTCAATCACTACCACCCAACGCCAGCCTCAAAGCACTTTCCAAGTGGACTGCGTGGAGGAATTGCACATGCTTCACTGAATGTGAATGCAGTTCAACTCAGCTCACTTATAGGGGSAGAGCCTGCTCTCTGCAGATGTACGTTATGTTCTCAGTGCCTGTTCCGGCAGCCGTGACGCCGTCTGCAGCGGCAGGGCTCGTGGCAGCTCCGCACAAGGAGCGCACGGGCTCCTGCAGCGGAGCCATCCTGCGGCAAAACCACTTGCCCCAGTTACCATAAGCCACGCTGAAGTCTCTGTGCTGCTGCTCTAAATCCTCCTTAGCACATTCTGCATCCTCAACTATCGAACATGTCTGTATTTTCCTGTAGGGCTGCACAGCAGATATTCTGTAGCTTTTCTCCAGCCTGGTGGCGTTTTGAACAGGGCGTGTGGGGGTGTCTCAAGAGAGAAGGGGATGAGGCCCAAGGTGAGCCAAGGTGACCAGACACAGCCCAGGAGCCCTTTCTTTCCCGCTGGCCGTGGCCTGCCCCACGCTGCCCCGAGGCCGCCCCGCCTCGCGCCCTCCAACGGGGCTATTTTTATCCCCGATAAGGACCTTAGCGGCAACAAAGCGCCCGGGGATCAGCCACGCCGCGGGG